ATTTATATGTGAGGATTTTTGCATCGTCTATATGAAAGAAAGGAAATAGTTCGTAATAATATGTATCGCGATAAGTATAATAAGTGATATGTAAGTGTTTGCGGACGTCAGTCTGACATTTGACGATATCAATACTTGCATCATAAATGTAAACTAACTTGAGGCTTAACTTGAATAGTTTCTACTATGTACTATATAGTACATGTTTACTGTTGATCGTTTTATACAAAATTGATCTGTTTTCGTACTAACTTAAACATCATAGATTTTAATCTCATGATGTTTTTTTGTCTGATTATGACAAAAAATTGCCTTTAGCTAACACTGTAGTGAATAATTACTGTTTCACTTAATTAATTGCGACTTTAAAATAAACTTAAAAATAACATATACCACTATTAGTATTCGTTTTTTTTTTACTTTAAATTTGGCCACTTTAGCGGTTAGCCTATTAGTAAAAAACTATAAAAATCACCTCGTAAAAAGAAATAATACTGTTAATATCACTCACATATATATACACATGCACACATACACACAAAAATGCACACAGGAACATACACACCGTACGGTAAAAATAAATATGTATAAATAATAAGTATATGTAAATATGTATCTTCATAAAACTTAGTGTCAAAAACAAGTATTTGATTAAGTCGGTCTAAAAAACCTAAGCGGTCAAGTATTTCAAAACTACATATTATCAAAAACGCTTAGTACCTTAACATACGTTGATATAATAACACTAGCGACTCACCCTCGCTTCGCTCTGGTTCGTCCCTAGTTATGTTTTAAAGTTTAGTATAGACTTCTCAGAGTTGAGACATTTTTTCGCACGTATCCTATATGTTGACCCGGATGACCAGCTATTATCATACCAAATTTCATCAAAATCTATCCAGTGATTTTCTCGTGATGCGGTCACATACAGGGAGAAAAAATCTAAAAACTATAGATTCGGCCTCTGTATCGATAATAATGACTATTTCAATAAGATTTTCGAAAAAAATATATCATGTACAGATTCGACTCAGTTAGAATTTTACTATACGTATAGATATAGGCTTTTATATGATTCAAATTCAAGCAGTCAAGTGAAAAGTCGTAACTTTAAAAGACATAGAAAACATAATTCAACAGTAAATATAGTAAATTGATTTGTCGCAGCCACCGTGAAGGCACACAATGCTTCATAATAAATACTAGATGTGACATGATAACGTGAATAATTCCATAAAATATGAACGGTATGGAGTTTCACACGGACGAGTAGTTAGAAATAGCTTGCTTAAGCTGACTTATCGCTTTGGGTTTATTATAATAAGAGGATCGTATGGTCAGCGCATCTGTCTACTAATGGAAGGTCCACAGTTCAGTCCTGTATGGAGCAAATATTGACGTAAATGATTGCCTTACTGAAATAGATGCCTAATTAAAAGAAAGGAAATATTATGTAGAGCAAGAAGTAAATAAAATATAGTTTCTTTAAAATAAACAAATATCTATTAGGTAAAGTAAGAGACAAAACAGGCAAACGTGCGTGCAATTCTTAACTAGTTTAAATAAGCAGCTTCACTCGCGTGGTATCACGACAATATAGACGATGTAATTCAGGAATATTGTATCTTTCAACTAGTGAAAAATTTTAAGATTTATTATATCATAAGATTTGTTATATATTGTAAACGAAGGCAGAGGTAGCCCTGTGGTAGCGGGCTCGCTTGGAAAATCGAGTTGAAGCGGGTTCAAATCCCCGGTCTCGCACTTATGATATTTTCATGTACATATTATTCCCAATACCACTTGTCTTTCGGTGAAGGAAAATATCGTGAGGAAACCTGCATGTCTGAGAGAACCTAGCGACTTTTCGAAAGCGTAGTGGATTATAGCCTGATCCCCCTCATATTGAAGGGAAGCCCTTGCCTAGCAGTGAGATGTGAAAAAGGTTTAAAAAAAATGTTAAAATATTAGTAGTACAATATATGAACAAACAAACAAATTGTACTCGCTCATATATATAGTATAGTATAAAAAATATTTGTAGTTTAAATATATACATATCTTTGACGACACGTTTGGCTCAGTTTGTAGTGACCATATTTGCTGTGCCAGCGGTCGCGGTTTCGAGTCTCGCTGGGGGGCATTCATTTGTATGATGAGCACCAATGTTTTTAATCCAGTCATGGGTGTTTATATTTATAATACGTATGTATTTTAAATTATATATGTGTAGTGTATCAACTATCTGGTATCCATAACACAAGCCTCGTAGCTTACCATGGAACTAGATTGGTACTATTTGTTAATGTCCCAACATATTTATTTATTTTCATTTCAAACGAATAGCTAGTAGTTGACGACATCTAAAGCTCCTATTAAAGTACAAGTTTAACTGTGATAAAACTTAAATATCCATCTAATTCCATCTAAACCTATAATATTCTCGTTATAATTATATTTTGGTTTGCTGATGCTATAGTTTTGATAACTAGTTAATGACAGACGTCGTTTTATCTATACATATAATAAAATTCTAACTAAGTCGAATCTGTACATTAAATATTTTTTGGAAAATCTTATTGAAATAAACATTATTATCGATGCAGAGGCCGAATCTGTAGTTTTTAGAATTTTTGTCTGTCTGTTACCGCATCACGGAAAAACCACAGGAGGAATTTTACTGAAATTTGGTATGATGATAGCTGGTTATCCGGGTCAACATATTGGATACTTTTTACCGCGAGAAAATAACCCATTTCTGCGCAAAAATACAAAAACTGCAATGTAAGAGTATAAATAATATGTAAAACCTAAGAATTTTGTTTTTGGACATCTGAACGCGGGCGGAGCCGCGGGCAATGCTAGTCACTAATAAATGTGAAAGTTGATAATATGCGTAATCATTTTATGCTCTATTTACAGATTATATTAAAGCAATATAAAGTTATAGGATCGTTACTCCGTAAGCGAAATGAATTTTGATAGATCTATATTAGGTATGCAGTTTGTTTGTTAATTTGAATACGCTGATATCAGGAACTACTAATCCGATTTAAAAAAATCTTTTTGCATGAGATAGCCTGTTTAACGAGGAAGGCTATAGGTTATATATGATATATATACTATATATTCCATACTAACAGTTAAAACGTGCCTAGAGATGAACACAAGCGAAGCGAAGGTGAGTCGCTAGTCTTACATATTGAAAGATCTACAAATTCAATATAAGTATATTGAGGGAAAATATAAAATAACTTAGTTATATCGTAGAACTAGCATTGCCCGCAGCTCCGCCCGCGTTCAGATGACCAAAAAGCAAATTCTTAGGTTTTACATATTGGTATACTCTTAAATTACAGTTTTTGTATTTTTTCTCAGAAATTAGATATTTTCCCGGGGTAAAAAGTATCCTATATGTTGACCTGGATAACCAGCTATCACCGTCCCAAATTTCATCAAAATCCCTCCAGAGGTTTTTCTGTGATGCGGTCACAGACAGACAGACAGAAAGACAGACAGATAAAAATTCTAAAAACTATAGATTCGGCCGCTGTATCGATAATAATGCTTATTTCAATAAGATTTTCCAAAAAATATCTAATGTACAGATTCGGCTTGGTTACAATTTTATTATTTATGTATAGATATAGTCGACACACATATGAAATATTTCATTCGTTTATTTCATTTTAAATAAAACTATCTTTTCGGACTATTTCTCGGATTTATTTAGATTTTTGGTTCCCGATGTTTCGAATGCTTTACAGCATCTAAGAAAGTATTATCGTTTATTTCAAATAAAGAATCAGATATTATATGCCACATACATAACAATAACAAATACATATATGTTTTAAATAAAACTATCTTTTCGGATTTTTTCGCGGATTTATTTTTATTTTTGGTTCCCGACGTTTCGAATGCTTTACAGAAATCATGGTCACGGGAGAAACTGAGGTGTTAGATGTCTCGAAGGTATAGTTGTTACAAACAGCCTACCCACAAATAACAAAATGAAATTTGTACCAATTACCTTACAATATTTTTTAACTTTACGCATTTTACTTTAGTAGATTTAACATTGTTAAAAGATACTAGCTTTTGCCCGAGGCTTCCCTCCCACCAAGTTTGTTTCCACCTTTATTAGTTCTTTTCATCCCCTGAAGGGGTTGTTCAGAAAAACACAAAACGCGTGTTTATTTATTTGTTGACAAGACTAATCCTGAGAACTTTTGAATTACTACATCTCTTATATGGTTTCTCTCTTCTCTCCATAAAAAAATTAAACCCCTATTTTACACTTTTAGGGGTTAAATTTTCGAAAACCGTTCTTAGCGGATGCCTACGTCATAGCAATTATGTACGAAATTTTAAACCAAACCGTTCAGCGGTTTCGTATGCACAAACTATTGACTTTCCTACTAACTACGATTCGTACTCGTTATGCTAATTCTGGGACTCGTTGTAAAATCCACATGAAGCCTATCTTTAAAATGGTGAAATTATTATTAAAATTGGTTTAGTACTCTCAGAGTTCATTGACCATAGACAATAAAAAAAATCTTTAAAATAATAAATATTAATGTTATATTTTTATTAACAACTAGCGATTCACGCTCGCTCCGCTCGGGTTTATTTCTAGGAACATTTTAAAGGTTAGTATATATTTCTCACAGATGACTTATTTTCCCATAGTAAAAAGTATTTTAAATGTTGACCCGGTTACCCAGCTATCATCATACCAAATTGTATCAAAATCTGTCTAGTGGTTTTCTCGTGATGTGTTCTCCGACAGAAGATAGATAGAGAAACAGACAGACAAAAATATTAAAAATATAGATTCAGCCTCTGTACCAATAATGACGACTGTTTCAATACGGTTTTCCAAAAAATATTACAAATGTACAGATTGGCCTCAGAATTTTATTATAAGTATAGATATAGATTAGCGTATATGATGATGTTCTCCTAGCCGATTCCGGCCATGGCGGCCAATCTCAATGAGATTAGCCAACTGCGCAGGAGATATTATAGTGCTCAAGTGTACGCGCAGACACAAGGCACTCTCTATTCCTATCACTCTCATACTCCGGTGGGACGACCACTCGACACGACCGGTGAGAGTTAAGGCGCAGGACCGACGGCTTTACGTGCTCTCCGAGGCACGGGGGTGAAACACCGCCAACTTCCCAACTCCGGGCTGTTACTGAGACTTACTATACAGGAAGACTCAATAACTAAACTTGGCCCGACCCGGGACTCGAACCCAAGACCTCCGGGTGTGCAGCCGTACATGCTAGCCACTACACCACCGAGGCAGTTAAAGTATAAAGTTAAAGTATAAAGTATAAAGTAGTTAGCGTATATATAAGTTTATGTATATTTTAGTTTATGTTTTAAATTGTAAAGAAGACCAAAAAAAATCTTACAAAGGAGCCGTCACATAAATTACATATTCGAATACATCTCAAGGCCATCTTAACAGCAAGCATTTTTAGGTTTTTTCATATAACAATCACGGTCAAAGTTCGAGGTTCCTCATTACCTCATTTGAGTCACTTTGTAAACGAGTTCACGTAATTTAATATTAAGCATTATGATAGAACAATCATATCAGTCGCCAATAAAAAGCACACAATGTTGAATTGTCGTGTGTGAACCGGGGCGAGCCTTGACCACGTACACAATATACTATTCTTCAAACGCGATATAAGATTTGTCAAAGGGAGTGCAACATTAAAATTCATATAAAATATGTTAAGTTGTTGTATGTTAGAGTCCTAGGGTACCTAAAAGTAGCATATGTGGTAGGTCATGGTATATCTCTGTAGTGCCTCAGTGGTCTAGTAGCTAACATGTACGGTTGCAGATTCGGTGGTCCTGGGCTTAAGTCCCGGATCAGGCCAGTTTCTATTATTGATATTGATTTTTCTGTTAAGATATTCTCAGTAGTAGCGTGGAGTTGGAAAGTTGGCGGTATTGCACCTCCGTTCCTCGGAGAGTACGTAAAACAGTCGGCCTTGCGCATTAACTCTCACCGGTCGTGTCGAGCACTCGTCCCACCAGAGTATGAGAGTGACAGGAATAGAGAGTGCACTTGTGTCTGCGCGTACACTTGTGCACTATAATATCTCCTGCGCAGTTGGCTAGTCTTAATGAGATTGGTTGTGGATCGCCGTGGCCGGAATCGGTCAGGAGAACCTTATTATTATTACCTGAGTACAAAATTTCATTCAAATCCCGATCGAATTCAGTGCAAGAGATAACAAGCGTATACACACATACACAAGCTAGCTCGGGCATGTGTGAATGTGTGTATATGTGTGTTAACAAAATATACTGGCGCGATGTTATTCTACATTTAAACGTATCAAAAACAAGTGACATAGCTTTTTAAACAAGCTTATTGTGATTAAATGCTATCCGTTATCTAATAATAATTTGTATCAACCGTGAGAATATCTGAAAGAGCTTTTAACGAGTTTATTTAATCTATAGTTTAATAAACAGTTTTGATTTATACTAGATCATTAGATCTAAACGTCACCTATACTATAGATAGTAGATACAAAAATCATATTACTGATTATCTAAGATAAATTGTGGACCGCGATCGCATTCACACCGACGGGTTGATAAATCGTCGACATTTATTTGGTAGCGATTGCATCAAAATATTTAGTCGAACTTCGGTATAAGTGTCAAACCGTAAGGCTTAGAAGATGGTAAGGCGGTATAAATTTTTGACATCTTATTTATAATATTGTATTGTGTTATTATAAGTTAAGAATGCATCAGTCAAATAGTGGCAGTTAGAAATAATGAAAAAATAGGTTTCAACGATATTGTTGGGAGCAGATATTGAAATTATGTTTAAAACTTTAAAACCTTAAATCTATATAGGGTCATTTTTAATTTACTGAAAACCTTTTGGGAATATACTATTTACATCATAACAACAACATTTGTAAGAAAAAAAAAATATTTCTTAAATTTTTATTTTCATACAAAAATATAAATATTTTTATTGCGCCTTCTAAACTGTAGTTGTCTTAGCATCTGGTCAAGTTTAGTGAGTAAGTGCCTCCTCCTACATCCCCTCCCCCCTTCCCCTCTAACGGCAACGCGATTTTTTTTGCTAATGCTGGTTGTGTTTAATAAAATTCTGAGTCAAATCTGTACATAAAATATTTTTTAAAATAGAAATCTTATTGAAATACTCATTATTATCAATACAGAGGCCGAATCTATAGTTTTTAGGATTTTTGTCTGTCTGTCTGGGAACGTGTCACGAGAAAACCACTGGACAGATTTTGATTAAATTTGGTATGATGATAGCTGGTTATCCGGGTGAGTCGCCAGTAAATATATACAATTCAAATAAAGACTTCATTTTTTTTATTATCGATAAAACAAACAAACTGTGTCTATAAGCTCATTCTCATTAATTCTAAATGCCTTAATAAATAAGCAACAAGTCTATTTTTTTATCTAATTCAATACTTTCAAATGAAAATAAAAATTTAAATACTTATATTATGCTAATAGCCCTTATAAATAAAATTCAAGTGACTATCTATGATTATTAGTGGTCTTGAAATAGATAAAACACGATAGCAAACCGCAAAAAGTTATAAAAATCGGTCTGACTGTTTGTCCGCTGTTCCACTTAAAACCAGAACAGAAAGTTTTAGATAAAAATGGCATTTAAGCTACTTTTTATCCTAGAAACCAAAAAAATGCGAGAGAGGGAAAGAAAATGATTATCTTAATAGATTTTAACGAGACTTACTGACTGATTGAACATTTGACCAACTTCAAGAAAAAAGAAGGCATTTAATTCTAGTGTGTTTTTGTATGTATGTGTATGTACATATATACAAATGTTACACGCTAATAATTAAATGTCGCTAATAACGCTATTTGCATAATAATTATGCAAACTGTGGTATGATATTTTTTATTAAGTTAATATCAATTTTCATTCAAAAAAAGAATTTTTTACTATTTTTCGTTAAAAAATACTTATTCATCTTCGTAACTTACAAGCAAAGTCGCTGGCGGAAGCAGGTATTTTACATTACCATAGTCGACAAATGATTAAACATAGTTTAAAACAAAACGCTATAATCGTAAATCTATTATCAAGAGGTCAAAGACCCCGACTGTATCGTGTCTATAAAATAATTAGACGAATACTTTATCACAATACAGCGATTGACCGAGATCGATACAAATTGTTCTGAAACTATCTTAAATTTAGAGATTTTGTCTATAAATATATTTATTTTATCTATACTAATATTATAAAGAAACAAAGTTTGTTTGTTTGAATAATAAATCGCTAATCTCAGGAACTACTAATCCGATTTGAAAAATTCTTCTTACAATTAGATAGCCCGTTTATTGAGGAAGATTTCATATAATATATAGTCTATCTATACCATACTAAACGTTAAAACATACCTAGGGAAGAACCCGAGCAAAGCGACGGTGAGTCGCTAGTATGAAATATGGAGAATTCTTATTCCAAACTAATTTTGTCATATTTCAGGTAAATAAAGCACCTAAGATTATATTGTAATTTAGACTACCTATATAACTTTTTTTTTATTAAGCCCTTTTAAAGTCCACTACACTCGCCAAATACAGATTGGTGAACTTCACATGTCAAGAACTAGCTAAGTTCTTTCGACATGCAGATTTCCCCTTCATTTTGTTTGTTTATCAGTAACGGAAACTAAATAAAAATGATATATGAACATGAAAATCTGTGAGGTGAGTAACTCGGGACGAAAACCCCCTCCTTATATTTGGTTTTTCCAGCTGCGCAACTGAAAGCGCTATATCTTTTGAAATAGAAATATACACTAATATTAGAAAAAGATAAACTTTGTGAGTTTGTGAGATTGTGAGTTTGTGACGTTGTAGGGGGTAATCTCTGGATCTACTGAATCAATTTAGATGAAATTTGGTAAGAAGATAGTTTAAGACTCTGGGAAGGACGTAGGATACTTTTTATCCTGGAAATCTTAAGAAGTTGGAAATGGGGATGACAGTTTGTATGGAGAATCAAGCTAGGAACGAACCCGAGCGAAGCGAGGGTGAGTCGCCAGTAGTTAACTAAGATAAAAAATTATTTTGAAAATGATTTCATTTAAAGACTTAAAATGATTGGCAAAGTTTGTACGTTAAACAATATTTTTTGGGAATCACATTAAGAAAAACAGCCGCGACAAGACCACTAGTCAATATTTTACAATTTTTATCTCTACAACTGTCTCTAAGTCTGTCCGTGCTTATTGTTATTTTACATTTATAATTGACGATGTTTTACTGCATTTATCCAATGTATATACCTACATACATATATTGCTATAAGCGTTACGATAAAAGTTTCATGTTTCCTTTCATGTTTGTGATAAAATAATAAGCTTTGTATTAGGGAATATTTTTTAATACATTCAAAAGTTCCAGAGATTACTTCAACATATAAACAAACAAATTGGACGTACCTCTATTATCTATATCTTATATCTTTAAACGAGCAATTATTGTATATATGTACATATATATATAATCTGAATCTCGGAAACGGCTCCAACGATTTTCATGAAATTTAGTGTACAGGAGGTTTTGGGAGCGATAAATCCATCTAGATTATTCTTATGTCTGAGAAAACGCTTGTTTTCGAGTTTTCATGCAGTTTTCGTTTGCATTATTCCACGCAAAATATTGTCGATAATTTGCACCCTCGGGCATAAGCATTGTGGTCAAGCGGCCAAGGTGCAAGATCGACAATCACAGGTGTCCAGGTTCAAATCTCGGTCGCATACAAAGTTTTTACTTTTGTTTTTTTTATATTTATTCAAGTTTTTAGTTTAAAAAAAAGAAAATTGTACTTTAGGCCAAAAACTCCGAGCGAAGCTCGGTAGCCCAGGTTACTATACATATAAACAGACAGACAGACAAATTGATAACCAATACAATATTAATGTAAAATAGTGTGAATGTCCTCTAACACGAAATGCACTTGCAATAGAATAACACTAACGGAATTCATTATTTAAATGAATAATTTAACAGCAACGGGTGCGGGATTTGCGCTTTTAATCATTTGTTGTAATAACTTCTACTTCCCCACAGACTTATAAAGCTGGCTTTTCAATGTGATAGCGAATATAGTATGAATATAGTATAGCTATATCTACAGTTTATTGACCGATTTTATAAAAGGGGTGTTATGTTTGCTTCTTTTTTTATGTGTGTATGTGTGTTGCGCGATATCTTCGCTGATTATTATTCAATTTTTATTTTTTAATGGAATTTGCTATAGGCTTTCACACCTATGGATAGTATAATTATTTTACATGATTTTTAACTTATTTTTAGTACTAAAACATTAATGTTCAATTTGATGATAGCATAACATTGAAAAACGTATTTTTGAAGAAAACTCTCGTAGAAATAAGTAATAAATAATAATATACGAAATTATAATATATTATGTACGCCTAAATGTAACGTAGTTGTTAAAATACCTTCCTACGTACCGAAAGTTGAATGGTTTGATACTGGAGGATTTTAGTATGGGTAGGAATTGTTTATTTATTTATTAATTTTTGGGAAACAAACAGTGAGATAATTCTTAAAAATAATTACAAACTAAAACATCCACACACCAGCAAAGTTTCCACCTATAAATATGTCACAGGTAGTGTAAGCATGATTAGTTTAAACATGAAAAAAATATAATAAAACAATATTATGTACAAGCAAAATCTTGTTCTTAACAAAACAGCGCATCAACAGCTAATAATATACACATTTTTTAATGTTATAAGACTTCACATTTGATATACAATACGGCACTTTTCAAAAAAAAACAAGATTTTATGTCTTTTAGATTGCATCCTATTAAATTCAATGTAATATCTTAGCCTTCAACAAACAATCAAGAAGTTTCTAAAAATATTTCGTTTATCAAATCATGATATTATGTAGTTTATAAGTTAACGGGAACAGATGAATATACATACATGCATAGCAAGCTAACGTCATAATCCTACTTTAGGCTTTCTAGTCGGATAATAAAACAACAAAGACTGCCTCTTTATATTTGAAT